TATTGACATATGAAGATTGTCATTTTTAGTTCAATAATCAAAAGAAGTTATTCATAATTGCCTCTGACAATGACATATTTTATATACGTGCTCTGTTTAGTTTAATAAGCCTGACATTTTCCATATAGAACCAATAAGCTGATAAGTCAGTTATTGTCCTGTCTGTTTCGGTATTCTTATCTACTTCTTCTTCTTCTTCTTCTTCTTCTTTGTCTAATAGATGTATGATTGGATCGTAAATTGTCAGTGAATAAATTTTGTAGAAAAAAAATTCTTTTAGAAAATACTTAACCGATTTTATTTGATTATTTTCATATAGAAAAAAATTTTAAATAATTCTATAGATTAATAATAGATGGCGCTGTTCATATTAACAATTGTATTGAGAATAATAATAATTTGTTTATCACACTGTAATTGATTATTCTACTAATGTTTTACACAAACTATTTGTATTAGTAGAAATGTAAATACCCATTTGTTCTTCCTATTATTGTCATGTTTCATAAGATACTTTGAATTATAACAATAGAAAGACTATGGTGTAGCGATACGAGAACAAAATGTTGCACTATTCAAGAAGTATATTATAATTCTTTGTCTCAAAGAATAATCGAATAGATTAGAAAGAAATGCACTAAAAAAAAATAATTTTCTTTCCTTCACTTCGAATACACTGCTGAATAAAGTTGGAGAGAAATATATAATCAAATATTGAAATAAGCTCTATATCTTTGAAATTGCTAGAGAGTAAACGATTAATCACAACACATCGAAAACAATAATCTTGAATTAAAAGGTAATAAAATGTCGCTTTTTGCAATAAATCATAATTTTATAATCGATTATTGTCCATCATAATATTGATAATAGAAGTGATTCTATTCATCTAACTTCAATTTCTACTATTGTACCGAGAAGTTCTTAATACTAATTAACACGAACGGATATTTTTATCGATAAATTGCGTATTTGCATTAATCTACATCAATAAAACATATGACAAATAAAAACATACCGTGTAGGGTATGTAGTTTCTTATCGGTAAATGAGAACACATTTGATAAAGAAAGAAAGAAAAAAATCAATAAAAAAAACACGTACATATATGCAAGTTGGTATTTTGAATTGAGTTTTTCCTCTGAGATTATCTGACATATGATTGTTTTTGTTAATAAACTAAATATTTAAAATTGAGACAAGAATAAAAATTGTATTTAAATAGTAGAACTAAAAGTATTACAAAGAAAGATGTCATCTCAAAAAAGACAGACAAATTTTTCAATTTAACAATTAATCTAAAACTTATTTAAAACTAAATCTACAATAGAAAATTTCTTATTAAAAACTTACTCGTTTTGAAAGTATGTCTTAAATTATCAATATTATATTAGTGAAACTATCTTTTTAAAATTGTCCAATCTCGTTAAAGTTATAGTAATTACATATATATCAAAAAATAAATATTTCTCTTGGCTTTAAACCCTAAAGTTATAATTGAAAAATTGTATAGAAATTATATTTGACTCTCAATTTTACAAATCTTAAAATATTTTTTTAATTAATTGACAATTCGTCAATAATATTAGTGATTAAATTTACAATTTATCGCTTTGATATATAGCCAATTTTCAAAAAAATCGTTCGTTATATCATTTTTACGAGATGAAGTGATCATTGAACTGAAAGATTGAAAACTGATTTAGTCGTTCAATGTTGTTATTGTGAACAAAAAGAAAATATTATAGAAACAATATATCTCGAATATTTCTAAAGAATTCAATGTTTTACATATGTAATGCATTATTATAATTTCCTAGCAAATTTGGTGACATGGAAAGCAAAAAACATTTAACGGAAGTCAACATGAATTTCCGGAGAAGTAAAATGAATTTCAAGAAAGAAAATCAAAGAGAACTTCCAGAAATGAAATGGCCTTTAGAATATCGCATTAGTTTCCGCACACAATGTAGATTTAAGTGAAGCCTTGATAAGTTTTAATGGAAGTTCATTTGGTTCTAATCTGTTTTGTATATGTGAGGATGAAAACGGAAATACACACACGCAAGGCATATCATTAGAGCGAGACAAATGATATACTTTATGCTCTCTAAGAAAAAAAGAGTGTTATATAGAATTTTTAAGGGTTATATCCGTCGGCATCATTTTCTGAACCATTAAAGATTCTAAAAAAGATTAGTTTTATCTGGAACCTTTCGCTTCTGTTCGATAAGAAGATTCAGTCACGAAAGTAAGAACCATGATTTTTGCGTGAAATCTTCTTCGACTGAAATCATCGGCTCCATCTTACAGAATATTGATGGAGGTGCAGTTCCATCGCTCTACATGCCTCACCGAGGCAGATTTGGGACAGTTGCTCGCTGTGTAGACTTTTACAAGAATTTTAAATAAAATACCGAAATATGATGACGCAATAAATTAATTTCTTCTATGAGGATGATCGTCATCATAAAGTAATTGATTTAATTCTTGCAATATTTCTCAAATTGATGATTCTAATATAATAATAAATTGTATTCAAAGAAATATGTGTATATATAAGCTAAAGAAACTAATAGAATGATCTCATACAATGTAATAATGTCAGTTACTCTTTCAAAAACATCTAAAAATGCACCTCTATTAATATACAATCGACCGGAAAAGTGAGACAAAAATTCTTTGGAAATATGAGTACTCCAGAAAATATTCATGATATGGCGATTATATACAATATTGAACTATAAATGTATTAAAGAAGTTGGTGAACATGAAAATCATAGTGTAATCCACGATGTGAAGCAACTCATAAATATTATGAACCATTATGGTAAGAATCAGAACAAAATCAAACAAATCCGCCTAATTTATTAACATAAACAAATATCGGTGTACCAGATGAGATACTATTGAGTTGCCAAATAATCACAATGTAAAACGAAATATTGGTCCTTGACGATAAGAAAATACTACTAAACCAACACCTACAAGCATTGAATTTTTTGTTATTCTATCAAAATGTTATCAAACAACTCCTAACATCACCTTTTTTCAGAAAGATACTATCCAGATTCAACCCGGTTATTTCTGATTTATACTTCGCGAGTAAGTGTCCGTGCGCAACTGTCCATGCGACCAACTGCGCGTTTCTCCCCTTGACAATACAGAAAGGTGTGGGCACAGATGTGCAAAGCCCACCTGATGACCCGACTCCATCCACTCGCAAAGCAGGTCCGAAACCAGACACAGAATGTTCCTCTAACAGACGGTGTTGCTTCACCAATTTTTCTACGTGCTCATAATCACTACGATTGCTAAATTTCTTGAATGATCCGATGAACTCAGGCAACTACAGAGTGAAATTCACCATTATTTATTTGTTTAAATCAAACTAGAATAATATGTATATATAAATTATTCATGTATTGATATGTTGACAATGAAATGATGAATCGTTAAGGCAGAAGTTGATATTATTTTTTTTCAGGGGAGACCTATTTTGTAAATATTAAAATTTCACATAACAGGTATGAAAACCTCGAATTCTTAGACTATTACTCAAGTTCAACGAAAGCCTTTCATTTTTACAAATTTAATCTTTGCTAATTAAAAAATTGCAATTAAATCATAAGTAAAAAATTGAAACGTTATGTTGATATTTAAATGGTTGATCTGGTTTTTTTATCTTTGTATGAAACGAGTAAAACTATTTCAAATTTATGTTAATCAGGCCGTGTTCAAAAATGATCCCACCTTAGTTCAAGCGGCTTGCAGTGTAACCATCTTCGTAAAAGCGGTTTAGCATAAAAACAAAGGGGTGTGATATAGAACTCTTCTGAACATTTAGAATCTTTTTTTATTTCTCATGGTTTTGAAAATTACCAAGAATCTTGATGACTTATTTATGAATCAATGAAACCTTTAAAAGTTCAGCATATTCTCTAAAACCATGAATGGTTTCTCATGAGACCTTTTGGTTTTTTAGAGAGTGCTCATATTTCATAAGAATGTTAGTAAAATCGAATTTTCCAAGAAATTCAATATCTCGAGAAGGAAACATTTATTTCAGCTGAAACTTTGAGAATCTTTTAGAGGTCACTGGACATATCAGGATTCTTGATTAGAAGGAAATGGGGGTCTCCCCAAATGTCTAGCTTTTTGCTAAAATTCTAAACATATTCTACCATTTTTTTACAGCTTCATGGCAACTCTGAACAGAAATCGGATTTGAGAACATCATTTGTCTTTATCTAGCAGAAAGCGAAATAAAAATAAGCAGACAATGTCATTGCGAGGCGAACAGGATGGAACAGATCCAAGGAAGGGCCAGCCTGGTGACAGATCGTCTGTTGTGGGAGAGGGCTCAGTCATGGTGAGTTTCATTCTTCTCTTCCATCTATCTCCTATCACCGCTTCTAGCATCCCTATCTCGAAAGCATTTGCTGCGAAAATTTTTCGGACTTTTCGTCAAATTTTCAGCCCCTCTGCCCAATCATTAAAGCAGCTATAACTTTTGAAAGAAGGTTCAAAGATCATTATCCTTTCAGACTTTTTCTGGTTTCACTGAGATCTACTTATCGACAAAACCTCAGCTGCATCGGCATTAGTCAATTCGAGACCTTCTCTTATCAGTTTAGTCTTATTATTATTAGTATAACACCTTGATATGTTTTTCTAAGTTTTTGGCACACATTTTAGAAAAGTGCTTTTATGATTAAAAATGTATGTGAAGCATATTTGACGTGATGTATGAAGACAAGCGTAACCCATGACGAAGAGAATAACTTGTTTTTTTAAATAAAGAAAGAAAAGATTAGTAAATTTTTTTTTACATTGTTGATATTTTCTCTCTGCTGATTAAAATGTCTTTTTTTTTCTTGTTAGAAAATAGAATATATAAAGAGAGCAAAGCAGACAGTATGCGTATTACATAAAAGAAAGTTCAAGAAACTTCTGTTATCTACTTACAACAAAAGAGTATATGAAAAATAACTTTTCTTATGTCGATTTTGACAATATTTTTACTTATTTTTTATGGTAAGTCTAATAGTCAATAAGAAAATATTTATTTCAATTGTAATTTTTAGTAAATATTGTTTCAAGTTTGAATGATACAACTCAATTAGAAAATTTTACAATTGAATGGCAAAATTTTGACTTATTAACATGTGCTATACCAAAAACAATAAATATATCCATTTTTAGTTGTTTATCACCACCTAGTTATACACAAGTAGATGATATATCATGTCTTCAAGAGTCAACAATTAATTTCGAAGGAAGTATATGTCAATCCACATCGGCGACAACGGTAGATATAATAACTTTTTAAAAAAAAAAAGAATAACGTTACTATATGTTGCATTTTTTAAAATGAGATATTTTAAAATTCAAACAAAAAAAAAGAAAACGTTTTCAGTTATGTAAATTATAGTAAAGAAAGTTAATTTCTTTTTTATTCTAACTAAAACTTTACATAGATTGAACTCATTATTTAACTAATTGTTGAGTAAAATTCTACTTTAAATCGTACATTCGAAGATAAATATTCATTATTTTTTATATCTTCTGTCTAATTTCGCCCGAAAATATTCGATTAAAAATTTTATCATTTCAATTCTATCTTACACAAATCATTCGTAAAATTATAAAAAGAAAAATCATGAACTACATAACCCAACAAATCATATTTTGCTTCACTAGTAAATTTAAGATTAAACGTTATTACTAACTTTTCATAGGCTTTTATAAAGTGGGAAGGAGAAACAACACAATCCTCATCAACAATAAGTAGTAGTGGTATGAATCAAGAGTTATCAGCAACCACTAGTACTATAATACAATCACCATCGACAACAAGTAGTAGTATGAACCAAGAGTTATCAGCAATCACTGGCATTACAACACAATCATTATCAACAATAAGTAGTAGTGGTATGAATCAAGAATTATCAGCAATCACTGACATTACAATACAATCATCATCAACAGCAAGTAGTAGTACGAATCAAGAATTATCAGTAATCACTAGCATTACAACACAATCATCACCAACAACAAGTAGTAGTGATACGAATCAAGAGTTATTAGCAACCACTAGCACTACAATACAATCATCATCAACAGCAAGTAGTAGTACGAATCAAGAACTATCAGCAATCACTGGCATTACAACACAATCATCATCAACAGCAAGTAGTAGTACGAATCAAGAGTTATCAGCAATCACTGGCATTACAACACAATCATCACCAACAACAAGTGGTAGTAGTACGAATCAAAAGTCATCAGCAACCACTAGCATTACAACACAATCGTCACCAACAACAAGTGGTAGTAGTACGAATCAAGTATTACCAGCAACCACTAGCACTACAATACAATCATCATCAACAGCAAGTAGTAGTACGAATCAAGAACTATCAGCAATCACTGGCATTACAACACAATCATCACCAACAACCAGTAGTAGTGGTACGAATCAAGAGTTATCAGCAATCACTAGCATTACAACACAATCATCACCAACAACAAGTAGTAGTGATACGAATCAAGAGTTATCAGTAACCACTAGCACTACAATACAATCATCATCAACAATAAGTAGTAGTGGTATGAATCAAGAATTATCAGCAATCACTGACATTACAACACAACCATCACCAACAACAAGTAGTAGTGGTACGAATCAAGAGTTATCAGCAACCACTAGCATTACAATACAATCATCACCAACAACAAGTGGTAGTGGTACGAATCAAGTGTTATCAGCAACCACTAGCATTACAATACAATCATCACCAACAACCAGTAGTAGTGGTACGAATCAAGAGTTATCAGCAATCACTAGCATTACAACACAACCATCATCAACAACAAGTAGTAGTACGAATCAAAAGTCATCAGCAGCCACTAGCATTACAACACAATCATCACCAACAACAAGTGGTAGTAGTACGAATCAAAAGTCATCAGCAACCACTAGCATTACAACACAATCGTCATCATCAACAAGTAGCAGTGACAGTACGAATCAAGTATTACCAGCAACCACTAGTATTATAACACAATCATCATCATTATCAACAGCAACTCGTACTACTCATTCATTAACCATTATGTCCAGTAGTATGTCTCAGACGTCATCAACAATAACAAACAATACAAATCATACGACACTTAATAACACTAGTCATACATCATCAATAACAATAGAAAGTAGTACGACTCGAGTAACTACTATTGATACAATTCAAACATCGATAACAACAGCTAGTAGTAATATTGCTCATGCATCAATAGCAATAACAACTGAAGCATCAAAAGCGGCTATTATAGCAGATCCATATTACTGTCCAGGAGATACTATAGGTTCTGCTTGTAACATATCATCTGATATATGTGCTATGTCACAACCATGTTTGAATGCAGCAACATGTTTTCCAAATAATACATTACCATTAGGATATCAATGTCAATGTCAAACAGGTTATACAGGTGACAGTTGTGAAAATAAAAGAATATGTAGAACGAATACATGTTTGTAAGAAATCATAAAACAATTTTTATTTTTATTTTTTTTATTATTTGCTTTTTATTTTATATAGAAATGACGGAATTTGTATTGAAGTTAATGATCAAATAAATTTCATATGTGAATGTCAAACAGGTTATACAGGTATTCGTTGTGAATTTAAAGTGGATTATTGTAGTAATATGTCATGTAAAAATAATGGTGTATGTCGTACAATTAATATGGTTGCAAAATGTATATGTTTAGATTTGACACTTTTTTATGGAGACTATTGTGAATTTAAAACAACATCATTAAAAGCTCGAATCATTTTAAGTAAATCATTTGCTGGTATTGCAATAACAGCTATTGTTGTAACATGTTCATTTGTTATATTAATGGATATTCTTAAATATGTATTTCATATTAATCCAATT